GCTACATACAACATACCGCGGTCGCGTGCGCCCAGTCCCGCGGAAGTGCGCGGCTTAACCGCTCTCGGCGGTCGGGGAACAACGCATCTTTTGCGCAACGCCATCTCGTACCCGGTCTCTCTGGATCCGCCACTGATAGACATTGCCTAGCTGCCGATATATAATATCAGGAGTAGATAATAGGGAAGAAGTGTGATTTCAATAAACAAGGGAAATTCGTCATTTACTAGCCTTAGAATACCTACGATTTACCGAGTTTTTGCATTCATGCATCATTACATTGCATCTACAGAAAAAGTGAGGGGCCTCTGCTATGGTCTGCTATGGCCTGCCCAAAGTCAGGCCGCCATTAAAATGCTAGTAGTAGTAGAATTTATTATGGTGGTTTATAGATGGGCCTCCTCTGTCGGCGATTAACCGTCGGTGTCAGCAGAGATGAACAGAAAGTTTGATTAAGCTTAGGCAAGCTCTATCATCTAACCCTGGTCTCCTTACCACGAATGCATGACAATTCGAAGATTCCGTCGATCGCATTTTCGACTGCGTCGTCTTTTTCCCCACTAGTCGTGACTGCATGGTGTGTTAGCTGCTCCCAGAGACGAAAATATAGCACCTGTTCTTAGTGCTGATAATGATGGCTGAATCACGTGCCCATCGGAGAAGATCGATAGTTCTTAATAATGACACAAATAAATAGGCTGTGGTGTGCAAAAGCACCATGGTTGGTACCAGAGATTATGATTGGCTCCCACTTAATGTCACTTCACCCATTTAACAGCCGCTGTCTTCCCGGCTCCTATCTGTACGTAAAATCTCTTTTTTTTGGTGCATTCATGCAGTTGGGTTGCCACTGCATGCGTCCTTTATTTGGAATCACTCGTTACAACTGCGCCACACAACGCGGCATAATGATCTTGGAACAATAGGCCCCGAGCAGCTGTGTATGCTAAAATATCCCAAATACAATATGAACATAAATATATGCATATTGTATATATGAATATGTTATATTCGTACGACCTCGCTTTTTCTAGCACGCGGTTATTCGTTAATACGCAAAGATGTAGCTTGTTCAGATCTACAAGCGACACATGATGAACACCACTGCTTCATCAGATGTCAGCAGCGTAACCGTAGAGCTATATTTTCTGGCTTGGTATAAACAAGGCTATCACGGATATGGTATGCAGCCAATGTACGTACCTCTTGTCAGAGACACCAAACATAGCAATGAAGAGAGATCGACCATATGGAGTCTACCCCATATGATATCCTAACACATATATATATATATATACCATATGACACACATTTGGAATAGATCTAGCTGTTCTTCCGTGAGAACAGAAACTACAACGTTATCAATGATTACTTTTAGCTGTGTGCAGTGATAAAATCAATACAGATAACTATACACACTAAGCAAAAATAACACGAAAACTCGTTCCACTGTTTGGATCCACAAATGAAGTATCTCAATCAACAATATCAGACAATAACCCGCAGTTTATTGGGAGTACATACCCATATAATTAACCAACATGTAATTGCAAAGACAACATCACCCACAACGACAAATAGCTGACAACGACACGATACCCCAGCCACAGACTAATGTATTCATGTATACATGCATTCGTTAGTTTGTACCCAAAATGAACCCGAGACGAGCAACAGAGACCGATGACCTACAGGAATGCTCACAATTAACTGAACTGTATGTAAAGTGCTATACAGTAACATAGGCCTGCCAGTTACCAAACTGTGTTCGTTGAAACCAAAACTAAAACCCAAGTAATATTAATTATGTAAACGATAACAATTATTCAAACGAAAACGGGAGATGTCAGAATCATACGACAAATCAATTTCCATATCGTATATACGTATTGTTGAAGTTACTCTTTTGAAATAGAGAGCAAATGCCTAGGATATGAAAAATTTGGAGCCAATTAATTAATAATTAATTGTACGGCACTATATGGCTTCCCAGCATCCCAAATTTTACGTTTGGGTTGGTTTTTAAGTGAGAGCCCATGCATTTGAACATGCAGTTTGGTAGGAAACGTGTCTATATACTTTTATATCTCTATGTGCCCCTTAATTTCTCCCCATTTCATTATATTTTGCAGGCCCGTAGCGAGAATTTCAGGCCATTTCAGGAGGGTACGTTGGTCCATTTCATCAGAATGTGAATCTTTGAAGTCATACAGCTTCTGCAGCGGGAGCGAAGGGGTCATGTTGGTAGATGTAGAGGAGAGCTTGCATTTCTTGTTGATTTCTATTATGTGCCCTGTAAGATATGGCTGTGACGCAACTCCATTGTATTGAGCTGCCGCTGCTTTTGTTCCTTCTTGGCCATCTTCCAAATTTGTACGCGCACACGTGCGATTCCAGCACGAAGATTGCAAGACTGCATGCATGCATGCGTACTGGCAGAATGCCAAACCTTTCAGATTCCTGGAAATCACGCGGCTGCTTGGCAACAGACAATCCACAGACAGGTGATCCTCCCGGTACGACATGCTGGTTGACACCAATCTGGCCATACAGACCACTACCGCCATCTATTGGCGGGTTTAAATTTCATTATTATCAAAAACCGTATAGAAAGCATACAAAGACTGTATAGGGTCTTCGCTCAAACATTATGGCCCTGTCACACATTGACGATTTAGCCAGCGTATGCCGGACGTATCAAAAATTTGGTGAATACGCTGGCGTACGTCGAATAAGTTATGGGTAAGCTTTGTATAAGTTAAGAGCACGCTAACGCACGCTGAAGCACGCTGAAGTACGCTGAAGCGCGCTGAAGCACGCTGAAGTACGCTGAAGCACGCTGGTATACATCGTAGTGCGGTGAGGTTGTCTAAAAATTTTGAGCATGCTCCAAATTTTCCGACGTATGCCAGCGTATGCCCGCCCGCGAAATTTTTTTTCCCACGAGAGTTCCGGACCCCCGCCAATCAGCGCACTCCATTCACTCGACTACCTCGAAGCAACAATGCAAAATTTATACAACCTAACCCTAACCCTAACCCTAAACCTAACCCTAACACTAACTATAATACAACCAGGTCCGTCTTATATACGCACCATATATTACAAAACACTATCTGTGGTGGGTCCGGAACTCTCGTGGGAAAAAAAATTTCGCTGCCCGCCCATACGTGCCGCATACGCGGGCCATAAGTTGTAGGTAAGTTATGCGATCGTTGACACACGTTCACACACGTAACTTGTAAGTTACTCATAAGTCGAAATACGTCGAGATAATGTCTAGCGTACCCAAAACTTATTTCTAACTTATGAGTAACGTGCTTTGAACCTATGTGTAACTTATCTCCAACGCATATTGACGTATGTAGACGTATTTGACGTGTTCCGGACGACCACAGAACTTACTGAACGTGTTTCTAACTTACAGCTACCGTATAATGGCGTATTGGCAGCGTTTAGGGGAATTGGTATATAAAAATGGTATTGGCATGTTGATACTGCGACGGTGATGTTGATACTGTGATGTCTAGTGCGGTTATGATTTGAATCGTCGAGCGGCAGCCTTTTTATAGGCTACGACACGTGATCGTCGGCGATACGCTGCCGCGCGCTATGCACAAGTTAGACTATCGTTGAGCATAAGTTGTGAACGCCGGCAACACGCTAAGCATTCGTTGGTATACGTTATCTTATAAGTTATCGAAACGTTCTATATACGTTACTAATACGTTAAGTATACGTCCAACTCGTTATATGAATACCTATGTATACGCCCAAAATTCGAAAAAAACATCGATAGTTCAGCGTATGCCAGCGTTTTAGAGAAATTTTGATACGTCCGGCATACGCTGTCTAAATCGTCAATGTGTGACAGGGCCATTAGCCGGGAAAAATTCATGGCCACCTCATAACTGAGACATCCGGATTTAATTCCCATGTGAAACTACTGTGACGAATATGTGTACCCTCTCAAAATGGCATTTTATTTTGGCAGATATACTGGGCATGCACGAATATACTAAGTATTTTGTCATGCAGTAGGGAAACTCAGTACTACTATGCACCTTAATCTTATGTAGGCCCGTATAGTGACGGAGCAATTACGGAGGCAGCTGTCCTCCTTAAATATTGGAAAACAGTAATATAAAAAACACAATAAAAGTTAATACATTCAAAACATAGTGTAAATCCTTATGTACTCATGTGGATCCCTCTTCCAACACCCAAACCTGCCACTCTGTACGTTGACTAGGCGATGTTCGATGATAATCGTAGTACAGCCGATTAATCACAATTACTGAATTAGACATATGCAATCAATGCTGTCGGTGCAACAAAGATTATCAATAGCACGTTAACACGTATTTGATTTTTCAACGTATTAGGTATTTCAACTTGTACTTTGTATAGGAAACTTGCATATCGTAATATGTTAGTATAGACTTCTTCTGATGTTTATGTTGCATGGGTATTTCAACTGGTACTTCGTATAGGTGTTAGTATCGACTTCGTTTGATGTTTATGTTAGCATTGATAACAGATCATGTGAAATTCGTTTTCTTTATCAGGTAATACAAATTTCTGCAAAGCAGCACAGAATATTAGTGCTTGGGCCATAATAAAAATATTGTTTGCTTGCCCTCACCCGACCGACCCACCAAAAAGGGGCCGACTTAGAAATTTTTATTGATCTTTCCCATTCTTTTTTTTTTACAAATTGTATCACTCTACATCATATAAATCTGTAGGCAATGCATCTAGCTGCATCTGCATGCTGCATCTGCATCTGCTGTTGGTTGGTATCTCCACACAAGCACACCCAAGCATGTAGACACCATGCTAAATTTAGAAAAAAAAACCTAAAAAAAAAGAAGCCTACCTACCTACCCAAACTTTTCAGCCTGGTTCGGGTGTGGGCAAACAAAGAGATTTTTAATTGTGGCCTTGGTGGTATAGCACCATGTAATTTTAATATAAAAAGTCTGCCAAAAGATCATGACTACCAACAAGATATGGACTATTTTATAATTACATTGTTCAAACATTTTGCAATGAGTCAGAGAGAAGTTGTCTATCTGATTCATGACCACATCAATAGCAGTCAAAACCCAAACCACTAATGTCAATCTACTGTTCACCCCCATGCCTGCACTTTTCAGTAACTGGTGACACCGAGTAAAACAAGTCGAAGATGTATGGCTTGATGGGGTATAGGTGAGATATCGATGCGATTTTTATCATTTCTACATACCTATATTACAAAATTGTTATACTTCGAGTTTACGCACATACTATTATATGGTAAATTAAGAAAACAGTATGTATAATGTATTGTAACAACAACTTTATACATAACTACCATAAGCAGCTCATAGTCATGACAGCACTAAGCTGTCTAATATAGTGCATAAAAAACTCTTTAGTAGTCCAATAAGTTTAGATCCATGGAAAGCAGTTGAACACAGCTGAAGGGGATACTATTATTCTTACATGGAGAAGATGAATGCTCATTTCAGTTCTAGTTTTCAAACCATTCCCTTCTGCACTAAAAGTATCAATCCAAATATAGGTATTTCCATTTAAAACCTAAGAGCAGCAGCACGCGCTCATTACCATCTTCAAATCACAAAAGTAATCTAGTTTTATTCTTTTATAAAACTGGTGTACTTTTCAACACTAGTGAAATTAACACAATGGTAGCAAGCACTATACATAACAGATCACTGGAGCCACTATAAACACAGCTGCACCTCAATTGTGTTCAACTTCGGGAGCTTTTCCATACTTCTTCTCGTAATACTCAACATATTCCTTTTTACGCTGCTCTCGCTTCGCAAAATAGTCAGGATAGACTGCTTTCTCATCAGGATGCCACCAATCCAGTACCTAAAAAAGATGATGAAAGCAAATATAGAAAAAAATCAAGTGTCTTACTTGGTAACCAAATTAGTTATTCAATTATAACTAGTTCATAGCTTAAATGCACAATTGAAATGTTTCTAAAATTAAGTTTGTTATGCATTTTTTGTGGTAATTTCCTCCATGGAGACCTGCTGAGGTAGTATGCAAACCTTTCCCACAGCATGAAATCAACATGCAGTGATTTTCTCAAAGCAATGGACACTCTAATATTTTGCATTGATTTTGAAAAATCAACACGTTACAGTCTGAGACACTGTCATGCAGTTCATATAAAATCTGCTGCAGGGTTTTAGCTGTTATAAATACATTGCTGGGAAAAGTTTACAAGTAAACAAATAAATGATTGCAATCATACTCCTTCACAAAACTGGCAAAATGGAAATAGTGATCTCCCTTGTTGCAGAGATGGTATATCTCAACTGATGCCACTATCTCGCCTTGGTAATTCATATCCAGCAATTAACAGTTTGCACAGTCACTACATACACTTACATAGTCGGGTGTGACGACGGTTCGCATGTAGGCACTACCTCCATCTGATAATGCAACTGCAAAGATAAGAATCAATCAGTACAGAAACAAACTATCAAAAACTAGTGACATTATTTTACAACAAATTTATGACTAGAGCATGTTCATTCTTATTCATGGATGATATTATTTAAAATTTACCCTGTTTAAAAAAGACAAGACGCTGCTAATCCTTTTACATAAACTAGGAAATTCAGTAAACTGTATTATTTGATGTAGCCTGATGAATGGCACATCACTACGTGCACATATTATATGGCCTGAGCATTATAACTAGTATTGTTCATGACAAGTCATCTGACCATTGGGTTACCTTATCACCGATTCTCACGCTGATCGATACTAATAAAAGTTGTGAGCACTGCTTACATTTCCTTGGCTGAGGATGCTGCTTCATGAACAACTCTTCCTCTCCCAGTTTCAACAATTTCTTTGCTTCTCTCAAATCCTCCACATCTTTCTTTTCCTCGAATCGATGCCTGAGCAATGTTATCTGATACCGGACATAATGCCTGTAAACATCGCAGCATGTAACATTAACATATTGGCGGAGTGGGAGTTTTCTGCAGGAATTCATGAGATATCTCTGGCTGAAGTAGGCAGTACCAAATGGCAGTGCCAAAACCTAAAAGGCAGATATATAATTTGAAAAAATGAACATTTAGCTACGCATCATTGCCATATTAAATCTTGAAGTTGAACCATGTCGAAACCAAAGACTTTGGTAGTAAATACATTTCGTGTTTATTCACTATCATTTTATTATTGAAACGTTCTAATTGCCTGTGGGACTGTGCCGGTGTCACAGTAAATAGTGTGATCTGGGAAATAGGGTGATAGCCTATTGTTTGTCTATTGTTTGTGTTCATTCATCTGATCGCATGCAGGGGGCATTGTAGTGCTGGGAAATAATGCGATGTAAGCAATGTAACGACTTAGCAGTATTTCCCGTGTCACACTATTTACCCCAGCTTGGCCGGGAAATAGAGAGATAAAGTAAATAGAGAGACTATCTCACTAGGGAGACTATCTCACTATTTCCCAGATCGCACTATTTACCACAGCTTGGCCGTAAATAGGGAGATCGAGTATCTCCCAAACTCCACGACAGAGGCCGCTCTCGCTCTGGCTCAGTAGATTTCCGTGAGAATTTCTAACGCTTTTTTACCACAAGTTTTACAGCAGCCAGGTTACTTGTATACTATGTAATAAGATTTGTACAAATAAAAGTTGCAAAGATATTAAAAATCCGACCATTATTTCATGAAAAATTTGATGAAATAGTGATATGAAATAGTGCGCGGATTGTGCCCCCATTTACCTCTTTCAAACCATACGCTGTTTACAAATCGCCATTCGCTGGATTTCCCCAGAGCTCCGCCTACTTTAAAAATAGTGCTAGCCTTGCGGCAGTGGTATCCTAAGTTGTACGAAGTGGGCACTGCATGCAGTTTGAGTATCTCCCTACTGTATACGCCATATTTTTTGTGTACAGATATATTCACAATTTCAGACCTGACGGACAATTTCGCGAGTGGTTAATTTCGCGGTCGGTGAATTCCCAAATCAGTGAAGAACAGCTTTTTGTTATTTTCGCGGTCAGGGACGCGTTCGCAAAATTCGCGAAAATTAAACCGCTGCAAAATATACAGCGTATATAGTATTTCCCAGATCGCACTATTTACCGTGACACCGGGTGTGACTGTGTGATATAAGTTAACTTTCAATATATAAGTTAAGTACAAGTTATAAATATAACTTTATAACTCGCATTTGAGCAGTTTTCAGTTTATTAATATTATTGCCATTGGTGTGACATTGACAGTGTGTCCCAGTTGGATTGGCCGTTCAACAACCAGGTTTAAAAATGCTGACATGATTTGTGCAGTAGGACCCTACCACAATATCCCATAAGTCTAGGCCTATGTATACTATAAATAATCACTGGCAGCAAGAACAAGTCGGCACCTGCAGCTGCAGTACAGCACTATACAGTGCTCGAAATAAGCGTTGTCCGGTTGTCCGAGACAACCAGAATTTGCGCCGGACAACCTAACCAGTCTGAGACATTGTCCGGTGGACAACCAAGCAAAATGTGACGAAAAACGCACTTTATT